AAGTTGTGTCTTTGTAATCTATAGAGTCAAATTGTCTTCCTTGTAACACAAGCTTATATTTAAAAAAGCTAATTATCTGAGTAGATGGTGACTAGGGGTAACCCTAGTGGCTAATACGGGACCCTCCCGCCCAACTGCTGGTTAGCTAAATGTCAATAGTTCAAAACATATTTGCTAATTTAGTATGTTGCTAAAATGTCATTGTACAGCAATACTTTGACATTTATTTAATGGTTTGTTAAAGTGCGGGTGTTTTATATTAGGTTCATTATTTAGATGGTCGTAGGTGAACAATTTTCTAGGGATTTGCTATTTGTTACTGGTGGGTTTAATCAGTCATGTCACAGAAAATAACTTCAGGCATAATAAATAAAGAAATCAGAAAAGTTACGATAGTAAAAAATCATCATCTATTGATATTAATATGAGCAACAGAGAGATTTTCGAAAAGGGTCTTTTACGGCGGAACGAAATCTTAAGTCTGACAAATGTACGAACGAACATGGGTAGATCGTGTGGCCATACATAAATAATATTCCTCATATATATATATATATATATATATATATATATATATATATATATATATATATATATATATATATATATATATATATATATATATATATATATATATATTCAAATAGGAAATAGTTATGTCTCTAAGAGCAAGATAATTGTGTCTAAATGTTAAATTACTCCCAAAATGTTTGTAATAAGATTAAAGTTCATGTTCCGTATTATAACAGAATATCAATCACAGAGGGAAAAAACGATAGAAAAGTACCGAAATTGATACAATCCGTTGTTAAAAGAGAGCTTAACATTTTTGTTAACATTTAAATAACACCCAGTTACCATTTTGACAACCACCGTTGTTGTCTAAACGATAACTCAACGTTCTGCTTGACAACATAGCGTTATCACTTTGATAACACATCCTTTTCACTCAGAAAATATATGGAGGTTATCTTTAAATAAATAAATATAAAAAAATTTTAAATTTTCGTCGTTAGACGCCACCAGTCGTAGATAGAATCTTCGTTTATGATTTGACGTCATGTATTATATATTATTTTTTTTGTAGATTTGATAACGTGACATATTTTTGTTGTTAATTTGACAACTATCCGTACATACTTTGACAACGAATGTTATTGAAAAATTATAAAAACGTTGGTGTCAATTTGGTACCAAGCGTGTATACTTTTTAATACTTAGTTTTTCCCTCTGTGTACGATTGCTCTGTATAAACTTTATACTAATAAGTCTATTATTAAGATAGGTTCCCATAATAATAGTCGGGCGGTCATTAAAAGATGAATTGTGCCAAATACTACGGTATTTTCACCGGCCGAAAATACATTGTTGTTGGTAGCGAGCCCAACTTATGGGCCAAATTATTTTTAGGACGATAACGATGATATTACTGAATTTTGCGAAATATAGCTTTAACCCGGTAGAAAAGTACCGAAATTGATACATTCCGTTGTCAGAAGTAAGCTTAGCACGTTTGTTAACATATAGAGAACGGATGTGTTAAAATTTCAATAACACCCAATTATCATTTTGACAACGCATCGTTGTCATTGCAACAACGCATTGTTGTCACTTCGATTACGCTTTGTGTCAATTAGGCAATGTATCGTTGCCATTTCGAGAATGAATTTTATATTTTTGTTGTCGATTTGATGTTATTGGAAAATTATAAACATTTTGTTGTCAATTTGGTACCAGGTGTGCATAATTTTAAAACGTCTTTTTTTCCTCTGTGTAGCTTTTCGAAAAAGAATGAAAAGGAGGAAACATAAAATGTAAATAAAAAGTTAAAATAAAGAACTTTGGATTTATTTTAAACTAGCTATACCCAGTGTGCTTCGCTACCGTACCATAACTATCCTGAATTTTAGCATTTATTTCATATGGGATGTGCCATGACATCTTCCGGTGGTCGGCCCTTTTCTGTTCTCTAGTTGTTATTATATGGCAGGGGCCACGTCTACTATTTCTAGTTCGCCGTACTAAGCAAATTTAAAGAAAATTCAGTCAAACGTAAACTTTTTCAGCCGGGTTCTTCCGTTAGTAAAATAATATTTCATAATGATCTGTCACATGCCTGATTATTTAACTAAAAAAATATTAATTAAAACTTAAAATTTCTCATTTTACTTTTTTCTCATAATTTTTTTAAAGGTTTCGATTTAGAGCTTAGTTTTTTTTTCAATTTTAAAGAGGTGAGCTTATGGACGTTTAAAATTTATCTATTTTTAGTTAGAAGACTACAAGATATTACTTGTTTTAATGTTTTTTTTTTGATTTCTAGGAAATTTTTATTAATTTTTCTTTCTTACAAGTCGTTGTTGTTAATACATAGTGGTGATAGAAAAAAGAAGAGATATTAAATTAAGAAATATTAAACTTTTATATAAACTAAAGAAAATAGTACCTTTTAACATATAATAAATAAATTCGAATATGATATTGGTTGAGATTATTGCTGTAAACTAACCGGGCAATATTGTTATTTTTCACAAAAAAGCTTTTTAAATAAAAAAGCTTCTTTAGAAAACCCTGTTTTTTTAAATCACTTCACCAGATTTTAATAGAGAAAATCTTTTTAAAGAAAAGCTTTTCATACAATTAAAAAAAAAAAGCTTTTTAACTAACAAGCTTTTTTACAAACAACCTTTTTTAACAGATTGCTCTTTAGCACTATATGTTTAACAAAAAACTATTCTACCAAAAAACTTTTTTACAAAAAAGCGTTTTTTCAAAAAAGCTCATTTTACCACAAAATGCTCCTTTCTTTAAAAAAACTCCTTTTGAAAAAGCTATTCGCATATAAAAGCTTTAATTTTTTTTCGAATTTGTCTCAGTTGGTTGATCAGATTTGTAGATTTGTTTATTATTAAAACAGAATTTAAAATTACAAAAAAATATACATTTTTATACACAAGCAAATTGAAAATCCTAAAATTCTGCAACATAAGTTTTTTTCAAATCCAGCTAATTTCAAAATCTAAACAATTTGAAAATTATTTATAAATGTTTTTTTTTTCAGTGTTTATAGTTAAAAGTATAAAAAATGTTAATAACAAGTTTAAAGTTATTTTTAAATTTTTTGTTTAATTTTTTTTCTTCATGTAATATTTATAATTAATTAATTAGTTACTTAAATAAATGTTATTTATATGCTAAAAAAAATTTTTAATTTTTTGCAATTCCTTTTTGAACCTTTTTTAAATGTTTTTTTTTTTTTTTTTTAATTATGCTTTTAGATAATTTTTCCTAAATATATAAATTTTATGTTTTTGTTATGTATATATTTTGAATATTTTTTTTCTTATAAATATTTTAACTTAAAATTATTTGAAAGTCATTCCTTTAAAGGTATGAGCTTTAGTGAAGATTTTCGTATTTGGTTTTGCCATGGATTTATTTATAATGAAATTCATTGGCCGTTAAACTTTTCTAAATTTGTAATTTAGTTTTTCTTTTTTTAATTTACCAATTAATTGGTCCAATTTATGGTTAAATTTTCTTAAATTGAGAAAAGTTTTATTTGTTTAGGCTTAAAGAGTATTTATTTTTAAATTTAAATTTAAAAGTTTGTTTAATATAAGATTTTGAAAGTTGATTACTTACTTTTCAAAAAGCTTTTTATATAAAAAAGAACTTTTAATAGAAAAGCTTTTCATACAAAGCTTCTTATACAAAAAACTTTTAATATAAAAGCTTTTCATACAAATGATTTTATGTTTTTCTCAACTACAAAATGCTTATAAAAAACTTTTAATGAAAAAAGCTTTTTATAAAAAAACTTTTAATGAAAAGAGCTTTCTATAAAAAAGCTTTTAATGAAAAAAACTTTTTTGAAAAAGTTTTTAATAAAAACGATTTTTTGTAAAAATGTTTTTCTTAAAGAAACTTTTTGTTAAAAAAATTTCCATATAAAAGTAGTTTATAAAAAAGTTTTTTTTATATAAATGATTTGTATAAAAACGTTTAAATGAAAAAAAGCTTTTTTCATAAAAAAGCTGAAACTTTTTGGAAACAGCTTTTAATAACAAAACTTTCTGAAAATGTTTTGCTTACAAAATCTTTGTTAAAAAATTTTCCATAGAAAAGTAATCTATAAAAAGCTTTTTCTTAAATAAAAGATTTGTATAAAAAATTAAAAAACCTTTTTTTCATAAAATAAATTTTTGGAAAAAGCTTTTAATAAAAAAGATTTTTGTAAAAAAAAATGTTGCCAAAAAAGTTTTTCTTAAAAAAATTTTCATAAAAAAGCTTTTCTTAAAAAAGCTTTTTATATAATAAGAAAGAAATAAAAGTAGGTTTTTGAAAAAAAAAAATTTTAAAATTGTAAAAAGCATTTTATACAAATGCTTTTCTTGAAAAACGCTTTTAGGTACAGCTTTTTATACAAAAAAAATTTTTACACTTTTTATATAAAAAGATTTTTAAATAATTTTTATAAAAAACGTTCTTTACACAAAAAGCATTTTATAAAAAAAAGCTTTTTGTGCAAAATTTTTAACACAAAGAAGTTTATGTAAAAACGTATACATTATAATCAAAAACCCTCTCATAAAAAAGCTTCTCATAAGAAGCTTATTTTTTATAGATTGTTATAAAAAGTTTCTTTTTATATAAAAAGCTTATGTACATTTTATAAGAAAAAATAGCTTTTTTTTATAAAATTAAACTTTTTATATAAGAATAAACTTTCTAAAATTTTTGAATAACAAAAACTTCTCATAAAAAGCTTTTGACAGAAAAACGCTTTTCATGGAAATTAAAAAAAGGTTTTTAAAAGCTTTGTATAATAAAAGCTATTAATAAAAAAGCTTTTGTACAATAAAAACTTTTCATTAAGAGGCTGTTGTACAATAAGAGCTTTTCATAAAAAGGCTTTTGTACAATAAAAGCTTTTCATAAAAAATCTTTTGTACAATAAAAGCTTTTCATGAAAAAGGCTTTTGAACAAAATCCCTTTTCATAGAAATCGTTTTCCATTTGTTTGTTTGTAAAAGAAGACTTTAACAGAAAAGAGCTTTTAACGTAAAAAACATGAATTTTAACCTGATATCAAAATCTTATATTAAAAAACTTTTTCAGCATAAATTTTTTAACATGTATACTAAAAAAAACTTCTTATTTAAACATTAATCTTAATGATACTTTAATGTATTTTTTTTGATTCTTAAATAACGAGTATATAAATCTATATATGAATTGTATATATTTGAGCTTTTATTTAAAAATGTTGCTATATAACCGTACTATTTACATACAGCATATACTATATATTAATTTGCCAAAAGATAAACAAAAAATATTTGAATAAGTATACATAGATTCCATGTAATGCGATTTTCTTTTGTAAATTTAGTAGTATGTATTTATATATTTATTTTCTTTAAATTCATAAACTCTATCCAACCAACCACTCAAATTGTCCATACTTGCACTTTTTCAGCTACCACACACCAACTGGCACGTTCATAGTAGGATGATACTATATGCAAACTGGCTACATGATGATTGATTAAAGCATCAAGTTCGCCTTCGCGAAAGACGTGATAGTAGCGATGGTGTGTGGTGGCGCCACCTTGTGATGGACTATCAAGTGAAGTGGTTGAGCTATTTGAATGCTCCCAAGATTCGGTCGATTGATTACGATTTTGCATGGTATTAGAGGTGGTCGTTGTATTATTAGTAATGGTAGTTTCTTCGCCCGAACTCTTTTTCGTTGTCGTAGCTTCATCCTCCTTGTCGTCGAGAGAATCACATTTTTCGTTTTTAGTTTGATTGGTCGTTTGTTGCAGTCGTGCCAAAGTTTCTTCAGCCTCTACCTCTTCCTCATCTTCTTCTAGTATAACATCATGTTCAATTTCTTCTAATTCCTCTTCCTCATCATCCTTAATGGAGGAATCTTCATCTTGCAGCAAATATGCCGTTTCGGGATGTAAATTATTGTGTAAATGTCTTTTATAGTTAAATTTCGATATCTTACAATTTTCATACAATTGTAAAGTGTAACTGCGTTCATTTTCCTCCTCATCCTCGTCTTCATCTTCTTCATGTATGGTAAAACTTCTGGTCTGTGAGGAGAGCGATGAAGTAGAGGAAGAATTTGGTGATTGATTAAGGCTGGGTTGTGTTGATAAATTAGCCAACATAAGTCTACGTTCTCTTAGCTCATCCCTTAAGGCGGCCAAATCTTTTTCACCATTACGTTTGCGTGGCTGTGAAAAGGGATCTTCAAAGAATTCTTCACTAGCTTCTAAAGACCTTGTTTCAGCTTTATTATTTTTCTCTTCCAATTCACGCATTAATTGGGCACTTAATTGTTCAGCAAATTCTTGACAATCTTGTGGTTGATTAGTTTGCATGCCTCCACCATATTTGTTGGGTAATATATCGGATTTGTCATCATTAACTATCATTTCATTTTCGGTTTCTTCAGCTTTAGTTTCTGATTCTGCTACTTTCTCCTCATTGGGTGTAACATCTTTAGCCTGATCCAAACTGGGAGCTGTTGTCAAATTACTGGATCTGGGCGCACTTATAACGCTATCTACTGAGTCGGGTGAAGAGGGTTCGCTAGAATCACTATCTAAATCATCGGTAGCCGGATTAAATAATTCTAATGACATAAGTTTTGGTATGGTGGCTATGGCTGCGCCTCCTCCAGCCGTGGTAGTTCTTCTTACTATCGGAAAACTTTGCCGTGTTATTTGTAAGGACTGTTGTTTACGGAATTTCGGTATGGGTGGCAAATCTTTAATGGTTTGTCTGGTAATTTTAATTTCAAATGGTTGTTCTAGTTCCTTTTTTATTTCCGGTTTAATTTCTTGACTTTTTTGCTGTTGCTTTTGTTTCAGTTCTTCCTGCTGCTGCAGATCCTTAGACTCTTGTTGTTTTATATGAGCTTCATCGAAATTAAATCTAGTCTTGTTGACACTATTCAAGGGAAGCTTATCCTCAGCACTTTTCTCTGGCAGGTTGCTCTTTGCGGGAGGTGTAAACATAGCCATGGCTGCTATAACAGCAGGCATTGATTGGGGCGGGGAAGTAACGGCTGTTTGAGCCGCTGCTGGCGAATGAGCGGGTGTGGGTGGGCAGGGCATTATAAGTGGAGATGTTGGCACTGATGATATACGATGACCATTTATATCTAATTTACAACACTGGCCTAAATTGGAGGAAGAGGAGACACACTTACTCTGGCAACAAGTTTTATGAACATGACAACCACCGCCATTGCTAGAGGAGGAATTACTCGAACTAGAATTAGAATTTTGATGTTGTTTCTGATAGTTCAGCTGCTGCTGATGCTGCTCGGGTTTGGGTATAAATATAACCGAGGCAAAACTATCTTCGGACTCTATGCTGGTGTCTGACTGTAAACTGCTATCTTTGGAAGAGTCTGAACCCGATTCTCGGGAATGTCTTCTAGCCTTTTCTTCATCACCTGCATTGGTACATTGTGAGCAGGCTTGATGATAGGTCTGACAATAGCAGGCCGTGGTGGTACAGTCCAAACTTTTGCACATTGTTACGGGTCCCGCAAACTTATTGGCGGTATTCTGGCGATGCAGCAAATGATGTAGATGGGTTTGAAAATTACTCACCAAAGGAGAATGCTGCTGCTGATAATAATGATGGTGATGATGATGATGCTCATGTGTGCATATATTGCCCTTAGGCGTTTTACTATTAACTTGAGCCGCTGAGGGCGTTTTCTCTTCCGGTGTGGTTTTTAAATTTTGCATTATTTTGTTTATTCCCGTTTTAGTAACTCTTTCCAAACTGCCAGTAGAACTTTTAATTTTGCTGGTAAAACCTTCACGTATAACCTGCAAACGTTTGGAAAACAAGGCCGAACGACACAGAAATGCTTCATTCAGAGACATTTGTTTTTGTATTCTCTTGCGTACACGCTCCTTTTCCCGTATTCTATTACCGGCCATTAGTTCTTCATTCAATGAACTCTGCTTACGCATTTGGCGGGTGGTCAAATTTTGCCCGGGCAGCGATTGCTGTTTGGCAAACAATGTACTGGTGACACCATTCGTATTTACATTATACTGACTAAACATGTGAAATGGCATATCTGGCAGTTGATAGTCTTCATCACAAAGAGATTGTTTTTGCTTAATGAGTTTAGGACGGCGACTAAGATTCGATGATGCATGTGCTGTGGTAACAGCAGTCGTAGAGCTATTAGTATTTATTAATGTATGATTTGTGGGTGAATGACCATTTGTGTGATTAATGGAATTGGCGGAAGATACATTAACCATTTGTCCGGCTACATGAGCATCTAAGAGTTGTGTAGCGTTTGTATTCTTATCGACATGCAGTAATGGACCACCGAGACTTGGTACACTTGAACGTGAGCGTACAATTTGTCGTGGTGGTGGATTGAGTATACTACCTAGACTACGAGATTTTAGACCAGCCGATAGCGGTGGATCTGTGAAATCTTCAAAGTCTTCTAAGCGACGCAATTCAATGGGTAAATCTTTTGCATCTTCATAATCTAAACTACTGTCGTTTTTGGTATCCTTCGAGGTCCAGGAGTCGAGGAACCAGGCATGCTTACGGCCACCTGCTAGTTTCTGAAAAAGAGAAAGGGAAGAAGTGGTTGAAATCTTAAGTCGGGTTAAGGAATATTTATTAAATAGGAAATCTGAATGTGATTTTCACAGCGATGTTTCGAAAAGTTCCTATTATGGATTTTTAATGATCGGTCTTCTTTCCAAGAAATTTGCCAAAAGAATCAATTCCTTATAATTTAATTTAAAGATTCGTTAAACTTACCTGTATGGCTCTACGAACAAAACTATAACAAGATTCGCCCGGCGATGAAGAAGACAAACTCGAACTATCACCATCTCCAGCTGAACGACTGGAATTCGTTGAATCCTCCGTATACGCATGATACGGAGGTAAAAAGTCTTCATCGTCTTCCTCATCTGAATAGTTGAAATTACGATTTTTAGGCGGTTGCCAAGGAATTAGTACATCTTGTGATTCAAAACGTCTATGACGTTGTTCCAAAGCCCAAACAGTAATAACAACACGACCACCAATACGTAAGATACGTGCCAATTCTCTCAAGGCATTTACTCTCCTCTCGGTGGTGGCAAAATGATGAACCACTGCTATGGAAAGAACCGCATCAAATGATTCATCCCGAAAGGGTAATTCAAGATTGTCACATAGTGCAACCTAAAAAGAAAAAAAAAAAAAAACAAAAACGGGAAAATGAAAGAGAATTAAAATAAATTGAATATTGTTAAGCATGCACGCGCAAGCATGTATGCACATACATTTAATGTCAAGCTAATTAAAACTAGTAAATGGAGGAGAGTGTATAAATAATTCAACCAACAACATAATAGCATACACTTGTATGTAGGAAAAAAAGGACATGAGTGTGACCTAATCCTAAAGGGTTTTTTAATGGAAAATACTTGCATTTTTATGCAAGCACTTCCCACACATTTCCTTAGCAAATTAGTTTTTTTTCTTTATATTTGTGTACTCGAAAATATCAAATGTATGCATATGACTGAGCATATCTAAGTATGTGGGCAGTTATAGTTTTAGTTCGTATTTAATCTTTGAAAAACTTCTATTGTGTTTCTAAATATACTCGCTATTTCTTACTTCTATCATTTTTTAACCATATGGGAATTTGAACATTTCCTTAAGCTAAGGGACATCCGTTTCCGCTTTTGCTATGCATATGTGCAATGAAAAGTTTGTTTTGTTTTGTTGTTTAATTCTTAAACAAATCAAATAACCCACACATTTACAGTGAGGACTCTTTGGTTATGTTTTACTGTCTTTTTTCATTTCGGAAGCAGGAACAATGCACTAACATTCAATTTATTACCACCCACACTTGCTCGGATTCCATACAAATTTCACGAAGACAAGGCAATGACTAGACTATGACTAGACTGTGACTAGGCTGTGACTAGACTATGACTAGACTATGACTAGACTATGACTAGACTATGACTAGACTATGACTAGACTATGACTAGACTATGACTAGACTATGACTAGACTATGACTAGACTATGACTAGACTATGACTAGACTATGACTACTAGACTATGACTAGACTATGACTAGACTGACTAGACTATGACTAGACTATGACTAGACTATGACTAGACTATGACTAGACTATGACTAGACTATGACTAGACTATGACTAGACTATGACTAGACTATGACTAGACTATGACTAGACTATGACTAGACTATGACTAGACTATGACTAGACTATGACTAGACATGACTAGACTATGACTAGACTATGACTAGACTATAACTAGACTATGACTAGACTATGACTAGACTATGACTAGACTATGACTAGACTATGACTAGACTATGACTAGACTATGACTAGACTATGACTAGACTATGACTAGACTATGACTAGACTATGACTAGACTATGACTAGACTATGACTAGATATGACTAGACTATGACTAGACTATGACTAGACTATGACTAGACTATGACTAGACTAGACTAGACTGACTAGACTATGACTAGACTATGACTAGACTATGACTAGACTATGACTAGACTATGACTAGACTATGACTAGACTATGACTAGACTATGACTAGACTATGACTAGACTATGACTAGACTATGACTAGACTATGACTAGACTATGACTAGACTATGACTAGACTATGACTAGACTATGACTAGACTATGACTAGACTATGACTAGACTATGACTAGACTATGACTAGACTATGACTAGACTATGACTAGACTATGACTAGACTATGACTAGACTATGACTAGACTATGACTAGATGATGACTAGACTAGACTATGACTAGACTATGACTAGACTATGACTAGACTATGACTAGACTATGACTAGACTATGACTAGACTATGACTAGACTATGACTAGACTATGACTAGACTATGACTAGACTATGACTAGACTATGACTAGACTATGACTAGACTATGACTAGACTATGACTAGACTATGACTAGACTATGACTAGACTATGACTAGACTATGACTAGACTATGACTAGACTATGACTAGACTATGACTAGACTATGACTAGACTATGACTAGACTATGACTAGACTATGACTAGACTATGACTAGACTATGACTTTTCATAAAGTAATCTTTTTTAACTAAAGTAAAGCATGTTCCTAAAATAATATCAGCCCTATGTGTTTTTCAGCTTAATCAGCTAGAATATATTAAAAAAATTTTCCAATTTTTAGTTTAAAAGATAAATATCTTTTAAAATATAAACATCCTACTCTTCATATAACTGTAATACCCACTGTTTAAGTAAGTAAACTATATTCATTCATTCGTGACTTCCTTCATTCAAACTCGTTCATTCATTCATTGATTCCTACAGTTCAAGTATTATGTCTATCTTATGGGTTTATCCTTTTCCTTGTTGTTTTGTTTTTTTATGTACTGGTTGATTTTTCGTTGGAAATATTTTCCTATTTGTTATATCGTAGGAGTTTTATATTGTCACTTTAATGCCAAAATAATATAAGAAAAAATAGTTCTTAGAACAATAAAAATATATACATACCTACATATAAATACTAAGTATTACGTTTTATAAATTTAACTATTGTAGGTCTATCTATATAGTACATCATAAGAAGACATATGTACATATGTATGTATATTGTGGGATGACTCTCAATTGATATTTTATATAGAATTGAAATTTTCTGTGTGGTTGTTTTCTTATTTTTTTGGCAAAATTTCAAATAGTTCAATTGAAATCATTTTTTGTTTATATGGAGTTAGCAGTAATGAAAATAGCACAACTGAAAGATTGAAAGTATGATAAACTATGCTGCAGTATATTGAATATTTTTATATAGTATACATATGTATGTATATCGGTCAAATATATGTTGAAATGTAGTTTGATTTTAAAGGCAATGAAAATAGTTTAATAAATTGTGATTTCTTACAGGGTTCCAATAATTTTTAACAGTTTAATATGTTTAACATTCCAGTCTATATCCTAGTATATAGTCTAGTCTATAGTCTAGTCTATACTCCAGTCTCTTGTCTAGTCTATAGTCTAGTCTTTAGTATAGTCTATAGTCTAGTCTATAGTCTAGTCTTTAGTATAGTCTATAGTATAGTCTATAGTCTAGTCTACAGTCTAGTTTATAGTCTAGTCCATAGTCTAGTCTATAGTCTAGTCTATAGCCTAGTCTATAGCCTAGTCTATAATCTATTCTATAGTCTAGTCTATAGTCTATTCTATAGTCTAGTCTATAGTCTAGTCTATAGTCTAGTCTATAGTCTAGTCTATAGTCTAGTCTATAGTCTAGTCTATAGTCTAGTCTATAGTCTAGTCTATAGTCTAGTCTATAGTCTAGTCTATAGTCTAGTCTATAGTCTAGTCTATAGTCTAGTCCATAGTCTAGTCTAGTCTATAGTCTAGTCTATAGTCTAGTCTATAGTCTAGTCTATAGTCTAGTCTATAGTCTAGTCTATAGTCTAGTCTATAGTCTAGTCTATAGTCTAGTCTATAGTCTAGTCTATAGTCTAGTCTATAGTCTAGTCTATAGCCTAGTCTATAGTCTAGTCTATAGTCTAGTCTATAGTCTAGTCTATAGTCTAGTCTATAGTCTAGTCTATAGTCTAGTCTATAGTCTAGTCTATAGTCTAGTCTATAGTCTAGTCTATAGTCTAGTCTATAGTCTATAGTCTAGTCTATAGTCTAGTCTATAGTCTAGTCTATAGTCTAGTCTATAGTCTAGTCTATAGTCTAGTCTATAGTCTAGTCTATAGTCTAGTCTATAGTCTAGTCTATAGTCTAGTCTATAGTCTAGTCTATAGTCTAGTCTATAGTCTAGTCTAATGCCTTGTTTAAAGTATTTGCCGCTTCAAGCTTGCTTTAAGCCGAGTAAATTTATGAAATACTTATGCAGATGATAAGTAGCCTTTTGTCAATTTTAAAAACATTGATTCCTATACACTGCTCTACCAATTATGTATAGCACTCAGCACTTGAAAGGAGTCTTCTATATCCTTAAAATTTTCCTGCAGCATAAAACTAAAGTTTCTGGAATTTACATTGTTTGTTTGTATGTTTGTTTTAATTGCACTCAGCAAATACAAGAAGAGAAATGATGTTAACAAGTTCTATGTAGTTGAGATATCTGCATAAACAAGGAAAAATGTAAAATACAAATGAAGTAAAAGGAATGCAATATATATAAGAAGCAAATACTCCGCAGGGATACACTTTACATGTTGATAAATAACTTTGTTTAAAAATATATGTATGTATTTCTAAACTAGTTACTTAGTTTGTACTAAACTCACTCCTATACATTTAGACACTAGTACATAATCAGCATCTTTTGTTTTTAGGAATAAAGTTTATATGAATGTGACTGTTGTTAGGTTTCCTTCTATTTTGTAGTTTTTCTTTTTGCCACAGGAAAAAATGTGTAAATAACAAGCTAATCTAAACAACAGCCAGGAGTGGTAGCAGGAACAAAAACAACAACAAATTATAACAATAACAAATCAAATATTCAAACATAGTACATACTACCTACATTTGTTCCCACAAGTTAGTATGTAGTTGCTACATGATGCAGTGGCAAAAGCACGATTCGTTGCCAGCATCACAACGAGAAATTAAAGAACATTACACGTGTCGTTAACCACGTACATTCATATGAATGTATGGTGATACATGTTTACATTTATACATATGCACTGGCACCCATACACCTACTAGTGTAAGAGTGTATGTATGAAACCAGCAGTTCACTGTAACTGTCTCTAACTAGTGAATTTATCTGCCATTTAAGTTTACTCCTGGTTACAGGATTGGCTATGTGACTTATTGTTTTACTTGTTGGGCCTTCCTAGGATAAAGACAATTAACTCTATTTTATTATAACACTTCACTTTGACTACCAATAGACTCTTCAAAACATTACTTGTTGTGGATTAAGTAACTACTTTCTTGGGTACATTGAAGAACAAACTACTAGCAAACAATTTAGTATCTATTTTCAACTCTCAATTACTTAGGATTCAGAAATTATAGTTGCTTCTATCAAACTGTTGGGTATGGAATAACAAGAGAAATAACATAAATAAACATATACAGTAGACAGTAGTAGATGGTGAAATTCAAAATTGTATGTTTCAGGAT